TTTTTTTTTATTTATCAAAAAATAATTATTATTTTTTAATTTTTTGCTATAAAAATTATAATCGTTACGGTCCCTGCAAATTGAGAAAAATATTTTTTCCTATTTCGCTTTCTATTCGCTCTGATTCAGGCGGCGTAAATCCTTTATCGGTTTGTATTTTAATTATCAAAAGAATGTGAAAATAATTTGAATAAATATTCGCAAAATAAATATATTCAGACTAATAATACATACATATGTATATGGATCTATACAGCTACAGATACACACCTACATTTGTATGTATATGCATATTAACAATTTATTTGCTGCTACAACTTTTCAGTTATCTTTAAATAGATTTTTATTGCTTTCAAAATAATGCATAAAGACATGTAAGAAGACGATAAATAATGTATAAAGATATAAAAGATGATGATAAATAAATGAAATGCTAAACTTGGACTGATCATTATTATTAAGTTAATCATAAGAGAAGGCCAAAGATAAACAAACCTAATTAACTCGTTCATTTTAGGCCAAATATATATGTATATATATATACTTTTTTTTATTTTTTATTTCCAATTCATTTCATATCCATGTATAAACCCCATTCTAGAAAATATGCTTTACGCTTTATGCTTTATGCATATAATATACACACACATACATACATGTATGTAAATCCCCTTTTCCCCCACCGAGTCTGTAGTAAGTGAAAAATGGAAATGCAAGCTTGTACTCACTTGTGCCAGAACATGTTCCCCGCCAGCAGCGGCATCTCCATGAGCAGGGCGGACAGGAGCGAGCTCTTGCCGCTGCCAGTCTTGCCCACAATGATGGTCAGCTTGCCCTTGGGTATGGCCATTTCCTGAACGTGCAGCTGGACATTGGGCAGCCGGCTGCCCTGCGGCTGCCAGGTGAAGAGGCCGTCGTTGATGGACACGGCGATGTCGTCGGGCATCTTCAGCAGCAGGGAGTCGCGCCGCCAGCTGTCCGTGTTGCGGGCCCGCATCACCGAGAACTCGACGGGCCGCTCGACGGTGCCGCCGAACAGTTTGGGCGGCCGTATGGCCACATAGGGCGTGTTGCGCAACAGCTCCTTGCGATGCTGCACGAGCTTCTGGTGGCCCAGCTCGTGGGCGAACAGAGGCGGCGATTTCTCCTCGACGGCCTCGCCGTTGCTCGCCAGCAGCAGCGGCGTTATGGGCTCCGACTGAGCCAGCGGCGCCGGCGATGGCGGCTCCTCGGGTATGCGAATGCGAAGCGCCTGGCGCTGCTCGTTCAGTCGGTTCTCCGCCTGGGCCGTGCGCAGCGCCAGGTTCGACTTCTCCTGCGTCTCGTACATGTCCAGCGAGGCGTCGCTCTTGCTCAGGATGCGCGCCATATTGCGAATGCCCTCGAATTGCTTCTGGATCTCGGGCGCGTGCAGGAAGCGCTCCAGCCGGCGTGTGGACACCCGTGCGGCAATGATAATGGGCACCGTTATGGGAAAGATCAGCAGCGGCACCGTCAGCTGCTGGAACAGCGCCAGCGCAGCAAACAGATGGCTGGCATCGAGGCTCGAGCGCGACTCCTGCGGCAGATTAACATAAACAGCCAGCGTCACAAATGTGATCAGCACAGTGCAGATGTGGGTCAAAATGGCTGCAACG